GCAGATCTTCTCAATTTAACGCGGTTTGAATGTGGGGTAAAACTCTTGTTATCTATTTAGTTTTCAATTTTGAACATTGCGATACGCAGATCGATAACTTAATGAAGCTTCTAAGCGCAAAAAATGTCTCACGAGCCATTAGGGGTAAAAATCCCATTTGCCTCAAGAAACAGCAGGAAGAAAGTTGTTTATAATGAATCAGATGCACATCTTGTTAATTTAGAACGTGAGATGAATAAACTAGAAAATTACTAGTATTTTACTAAAACGGAGCGCTTTGTAAAAATTGTACGGAACGGTTAATTTAAATGAAAATTTCATTTATTTAAACAACTTCATCGTATGGCTGATTAATTTCACATATAAAACTACACCCAACAATAGACTTTCTCATTTTCTTTCAAATTAGCCCAAAATATTCAAATTGACTTAGGGCTTCAGAAAGATACCATCGGATATTTTTTTTCAATTAGTCAAGATAAAATATATAAACGAAAGCCACGGCCCCAACAATCGAGTGTTTCCTCCTGGCCCAAATTTTGTATTTTTTGTGTATTTATTGTATATTATACCTACTACTATTTGTTATTATTAATGGAAATTAATTGTCTGGATGTTTAGATTTTTTCCGAAAACCTCGACACCGACCCCAACATTGTCCACTTCTCAAAATATAACGGAAAACATTTAAAAATAAATGATATTTACAAAGAAACCTATCGTTACTAATAAAAGCAGGCTCATTCTTACCCAACGAAACAACAATGTTTCTTTGCCTCAAGGCTCCTATTACCGACGAGGAATTGAGCAATTCCGGGGCTAAAGTTACTATTCGAATATTATCTAAACTTCCATAAGTTTCTTCCAATTGTGTAATTCCCTAAAGTCTCCAAGATATTGGGATATCGACGAAAGTAACGTGTATCAGCTTTTACCTGATCGTAGGATAAAATGCAGGCTGATGGATGTGCTCCCTTTTTCCCTGTATTTATAAAAGGGCCCTCAACATGGGCTCCAAGAATTGTAGCTCCATGGGGTCCACCTTTTCGTCGTGCTACCTTTGGCAACACTTTTCGATAAATATCTACTGGTGAAGTTACAACAGTGGGACAAAACGCTGTAACCCCATGTTCTAGTAGTTTTTTTGAAACTATTGCCAAACCCTCTTCTGTTTTATCCTCGAAGGAAAAATCGTATCCATAACCCCCTAAAATGCATCGTCGGGCTCCTATCTACATCAAATGTATGTAAAGCTGATCTTACCATTTATTTGAATTTCTATAAAACCGGGAACAATCAGCTTATTTGCACAGTCGATTTTAACATCAGCACTTATTTTCTCATCGAAAAATATCTTTTCTGGGTCAACAATTTTACCATTTCTCACCCAAATATCTTCTCGAATTATTTTGTGGTCGCTAAGAATGTTGCAGTTCATAAACTGGTAAAGTTTGCCATTAGTCGGCATAGTTGCGTTTTAACACTGGGATTCTGCAAGTTTAAATGTGGTAAAACTGGGGGCTTTTTAAACCAAATCACGCAAATAGAGCTAAGAGTAGTGGGATTTTCCCCGTTATGTTTTTGTTTTGTTTTTTAGGTTAGTCAACTGTTGATTTAAAGTCTACTTCTTCTCTGCCGGAGGGGCATGGAGCTAAGACAACAGCGCTAAGTTTTAGTTGGGGAGTACCGAAAACATAACGCAGTAAGTTTTCAAATATATTAAAAGTTTGTAACTATTTTTGAAAATTTAGGAATTTTTTAAGCACGTCGGGCTGGATTGTCACTGAGTTTTAAGGAGATATGAAAAGTATATTGGCTCCAATGCAAAAACGTTTTAACAATTATGAAAGTACTTACATTGAAGTGAAAACTAGAAATGTTTGGTATTTTCTAAGATTGTACTACACTATGTCTATATTTTTGTATGTGGGCTTGAAAAGAAACCGCAATAAAGCTTATCTCTGTGTTTGTTCGTTTTGATTTTCCATATCTAATCTACGGTTAGATAAAAGCCACATAGGAAGGTATATGACCCACATTGAGGGACATTCATTTGATTGCCGTTCTACTTTGGACTAGCAACAGTTTGCTGTTCCAACTAACACAATTAGCCATATAATCCGAGAAACGTTTCAAAATATTTAAAAAATCAGTACGTAATTATTATTAGCAATGAGAGTTTACTGGGAAACAGTACGTTTCTACATTTTTACTGATTTTTTTGTTCATTTTGTATCTAATATTCAGCCAACAGTATAAAATACATTATAAGATAATTTGAAGAATTTAATAAAACTTGGTTCGCTAAAAAAAAATTCGAAATTTTAAATCGACTCATAATCTAAACATAATTGTTTTTTTAGATTTAAAATAATTACACTATATAAATTATAAATATAACTACAGACATGCAACGTTGCGAAATTATAGACCGCCCGCTCACACAAAAGAAGGGAACTTCAAAGCGCTGATGACATCAGATATCAGCCATCAAACAAGTTGTTTTTAGTTATTTGAAATAACGTTTGGAACTTCAAATAGTAAATATTGGAATTCCGGAACTATTTTTTTGTGATATATCATAGCCAATGTGAGTCTCTATCAATGCCAAACCCAACTGCATTATCGTCCGATTTGGCTACATTAAATAGTCTAAATGTTGATTTGAAAAAGAAGTCCGAAGAACTGAAACAAGCCATTTACAGTACTACCCAACAATTGAATGTGAAGAAAGCATTGGTGTGTGAGTATCAGCATGAAATTGGCACAACTCGAAGTGATATCGCCAAACGGATCAAGGAGATTCAATTAAAAATACTGAGTGCTGAAGGAGAAATAAATAATACGAGCATAATTCAGTCCCAAGAGATTGACTTTGGAATCGCAGCTTAAGCAAAAAACGGAAAGTGCAATCACACTGAAGCGTGAAACCGATATTATCAAAAGAAACAACAAGCTGGAGGTAGATTGCAATGCCTCTCCCGACATCAACCTAGATGACCTATTCGCAAATAATGAAGCATTAAAAGCTAGTTATGTAAGTTTGCAACAAGAGCTACAGTTGTTACATGACCAGCATGCCGAAGCTTTAGAAGGACTGCAAAACAACCAGAAATTACTAGAAGAACTCACTGAAAGTACTGA